CACTGGGCTGTTTTACAACTCGGAAGACCTAGTGCAGAGTTTTTAATCCATTCCAAGACTTGTAGCACAGGAACATGTGCCGATATCTGTGTTTGCATAACGCTCTTTCTCTGAATATGTCTATTCTCCTGTTTCATACCGTGAAATATACTTCAGTTTTTCTACCAGGTGTGCAAAATATCCGTGACAGGCCAGCATTGGGCACTGAATACTCACTGATGCAATTCTTACAAAGCATCCTTCCGTGGACCTGCGCGTTGAAAGATGTATGCACACTGAGCCGCAGTGAAGCACCGCGTCAAACCCAGCACGGGGCCTGTGTGAGGTGAGTGTTTGCGTCCCTTTAGTTCTGATCCTTTGGCCCTCGTACCAGCCTTTTGAATCCTTCCCAGCAGATCACAAAGTTCAAAGCAAAGGACAGCTGTCTCTATGTGTGAAAGTGCAAAGAATTAGTTTTGGCCCACAGCTTGGGACCAAAGTAAAAATGATTGTAATTTGGGGCCCAGCTCTCTCTGAACCTCTCCTGCTGTATCCAAGCATTTGTTATAAGCATCCTTGTGCTAGATGAGGAATGCTGGGATCCTGCGTCCCAGGAAGCCTGCCTCTCCGTTGTGTTCTGTTCTGTGGGGAAGAAGCCCACATGTTTATCTTCAACCACCTGTTGTCTGTTTTTGCCAGAAATCAGACGTCTGACAGCTGTCGGGAAGGGACTGAAGAGAGTCATCCCAGGGACACCTTCGTCCAGATTGCACGTGGTACCGACGTGAGGAGTAGTCCTCCCGGCTGGAGCCTGTTGAGAACGCGTGTGGGAGAGACAGGCTATGAGTGCGGCAGATGCGGAAAATATCTGTGTTCCTTTGCATCCTTTTGGATGCACGTGGTCGAAGAGAAGCATGTGTGTGTAGCAGAGTCTGACAGCAATCCTTATCGTTCTCCTGTACATTTCCATCATGCCTTTCACCCTAGAAGTGAACCTGATGCGTGCAAGGAGTATGGAAAACTCCTTCCTTCTTGCTCAGCCTTCACAGACACATGCGGCCTCACGCTGCTGCCTCCGAGACATCCTTCTGCAGAGAGGACGTACGTGTGCACCGAGTGCGGAAAATCCTTCCTGAACTGTTCCCGCCTGCGGAGACACGCCAGCGTTCACATGAGCGTGAAACCCTTCGCGTGTCACGACTGCGGTAAAACCTTTCGCGACGACAAGAGCCTCGTGACACACAGGAAAATCCACACAGGAGAGACGCCCTACCGCTGTCAGGACTGCGGCAAGTTCTTCCTCTACCTGTCCTCCCTGAGAAAGCACGCAAGCGTGCACACCAGCGTGAAACCGTACGCTTGTGGGGAGTGTGGCAAAACCTTCCGTGACAATAGCACGCTCGGCAGGCACCGAAAAGTCCACAGCAAAGACCAAGCTGCCTCGAAGGGATGTGCGAGCCCTCTTGAGGACACTGCCAGCCTCCCTTGCAAGGAGCCCCTTGGCACGGTCAAGAGCCAGTACGAGTGCAAGGACTGTGGCAAAAGCTTTCTGCTGCCCTATCGCTTGAACATCCACGCGCGCATCCACACGGGAGAGAGGCCTTACGCGTGTCCCGAGTGCGGCAAGACCTTCAGGCAGTCAGGGGCGCTGATGTTACACGCCAGGACGCACACGGGCGAGAGGCCCTACGTGTGCCAGGAGTGCGGCAAATCCTTCAAGCAGTCGGGCGCCCTGATGCTGCACACGCGCATCCACACGGGAGAGAGACCCTACGAGTGCAAAGAGTGCGGCAAGTCCTTCACGCAGTCCGGGGCGTTCACCTTGCACACGCGCCTGCACACGGGCGAGCGGCCCTACGTGTGTCAGGACTGCGGGCGAGCTTTCCGCGTGCGAAGCGCCCTCCTGACGCACAGCACCCTGCACACGGGGGAGACGCCTTACCGCTGTCAGGACTGCGGCAAGACCTTCAGGGAGGCGGGCACCTTCACCTTACACAGGCGGCTGCACACGGGGGAGAAACCTTACCAGTGTCAGGAGTGCGGCAAGCGTTTCCCCCAGTACGGGCACCTCAACAGGCACACCAAGATCCACACGGGAGAGAAACCCTACGAGTGTCAGGATTGTGGCAGAACCTTCAGGCAGTCGAGCGCCTTCACCTTGCACAGACGCATCCACACGGGAGAGAGGCCGTACGAGTGCAAAGAGTGCGGCAAGACCTTCCGACAGCCCAGCACCTTCACCTTGCACACGAGGCTGCACACCGGCGACAGGCCTTACGCCTGCGACGACTGCGGCAAATCCTTCTGTGTCCGCAGCAACCTCCTGACGCACCGCCGGATCCACACGGGAGAGAGGCCCTACCAGTGCAAGGAGTGCGGCAAAACCTTCAGGCAGTCCGGCACCTTCACCTTGCACACGAAGCTGCACACGGGCGAGAGGCCCTACGCGTGTGACCACTGTGGGAAGACGTTCTCTTTCCGCAGCAACCTCACGGCACACAAGAGAATCCACACGAGAGCAAGACCGTACGATGCCAGTGGCCTGGACAAGACCTGCTGTGACCACAGCCTCCTGGGACCTAGCAGCATCCGTGCCGAAGAGCCCTCCTATGGAGTGCTGGTCAACCTTGTGTGATGCCAAAGGCCTCCCCTGATGGACAGAAATACAGGAAACAGAGACACACAGACAGAGAGAGAAAGGAGAGAGAAACACAGTCAGACAGACAGGAGAGAGAGAGACAGACCGAGACCTCCCTTCTGTAAGCACTGTTGGCAAACTCCCTCTGTACGTTGCCTCTCTGCAGTTAGGAGAATTCACACAGGAGAGAGAGCTTACGGATATAAAAACATGGTCAACGTTCCCCTGCTTACTGCCCCAGATAGACAAGCGTTCTCACAGCCAGGAGCCCTTACAAAGGGGAGAAAGCTCTTCCAGCAACAATCAGGAAACTTAGTGCACGTAACTATTCACCCAGGAGAAGAGAGAACTGGACGGACGTCAGGAACGGAGGGAAAGCTTTTGGGGTTCCCTGGTAAAGGAACTGGAGAACATGCAAGAGTTCACCCCAGATTGGACTGTGAGGCAAGCTTTTCACAATCAAGACATGCAAGGCACAGCAGGGACCTTTTAGCAATGTCAGCAGTTTAGCTGATTTCGTTTCTCAGCTATCACGGGACCTATTTGAAGTGATGTTGGAGGCAGGTGGAATGAATGCCAGGAAAATAGCCATGTCTTCAGTCCCTGCTTCACCCACGCTGGGCACCTTCGAAATCCCTCTCGACTGTTAGATGACGGAGAAAACTAGGAAACAATTCGTCTTCCTAACCATGTTCCACAGAAAACCCATTGTTCTTTCTTGGAGATTCAAATACTTACTGAGATTTTTTTATATTTGTAGTGAAACTGGGACTCTTTTCATTTTTAATTTTTTTTTGTTGTTGTTGTTGTTGCATCTCTTTTTGCTCCATTTGGATAAATTGAGTACGTGCATTTGCACACTGTGAGATTTCACAATACATTTTCATTGTTTTCTCTACACCCAGTTAAAATATTTCTTTCCTGAAGTGATGGAAGTGTTTAGTGTTAAGAATAAAGTTGCAAAAAAATCCAAACAAACAAACAAAAAATAAAGCTGCAGAAAATATGACAGTGCCTTTTTTAAAAAAAACTTTGCAATTGCTAATGTTCATACACTTGAAAAGTATCTTATTTTGTGTACGAGGTTTGAGGGGCTTGGTTTTTTCAGGGTGATCCTTTGCGAACGGACAGATATTCTGCTTTGCGTTATCTATTGACACAGCAACTCAGACGGGGGTCAGTGCGTCCATTATCTGTGAATATCGTGCCTACACTCAGACCAAAAATCATCAAAATCTGCTGTTAATGACATGGAGGAGAGACATTTAGTTTGTTGACTGCTGTCTGTCATGTGGCCAGCAGATCCCAGCAGAAGAGCTGTTATCCACCTTCAACAAGAAAAGCAGGTCTAGCTTCCATCAAACTCAGGGTTCCGCTTTACAGGATGATATCTCAGCCTCTTGTTATTAGATGATGTCATTTCTGGGACACGGGAGCCCCTTTTTTCATACGCTGTGTCAATCCCACTGAGAAGCACACGTGCAAAACGCATTCTTTTTTCTCTCAGAGATGAAGTGGCTTTGACATCTCTGTGTTACAGATGTGACTCTGTTAGGTTTCTTAAGCTGTGTCCTGTAGCTTGGACCTTCCCAAACTGGCTGGTTGACACGTTTCTGACACTTCTCAGATGAAAAGCAAACTCATTACCTTTGAGTAGAAGCAGGTCGTCTTCTTCTTCCTCTTCCTCTTCCTCCTCCTCCTCTCCTCCTGTTCTTCTCCTCTTCTCTTCTTCTTCTTTTTCTTCTTTTCTTCATTATTATTAGTTAAATCTGAACTAATTCATCCTGTAACAGATCCTTGACCCTTTGCCCCTACGGTGTCAGGGCTGCAATTATTTACAGACCCAGATTTGCACACTTATTTCTCACACAACAAGCAGCCCTTGAGTTTTTATCTCCAGTTTTTCACGTAGCAGTCAAATGCTTTTACTCTTATGTTATCAGGACTCCTATTTGAAATATTCTAAGAAGTCCCCTCTGAGTTTATCCTACTTCTTCCCACCCCCCCCAAGCTGACCTTTAAAACACTGGTGAGATGACAGACATTTTCTCATCTCCATCGGTTTACCAAGGAAGCTTCCCCTCGCCAGAACAGAAGGTGTGACCTCTGTTAAGGTTCTGGGGAATGGAAAATGATAGATGACCTCGAGCTGGTGTAAATGCCATTGACTGACTGCCACCTTCAAGGTGAGATGTTGGACATCAGTCTCCCTATACCTGAAATGTCAGCTGAAAACAAAGCTCTGGACTGTGGGCTACCCTGACCGTGACTTTGACCAAGATCGACACCTTGGGGGGTTCAGTTTTCATCAGTGATCATCTTAGATTACTCTCCTCTTTTGCAATTAACTGCCCTGAAAACCAACAAGGACGGTGCCGACTAAATGGTACTCAAAACCAGGAATATTGAGTGGCTCAGTAGAGCCTCTGTGAGGGCTTAAAACACCAGCATTTCTCTTTCAAGGATCTCTGGTGCTATCTTCTGTATGGAGTTATTTCCACTCTAAAAACAAAGGCATCAGTCAGCTCTGTCTGCTGGGAACCACACATGGCCTCCAGAGATACAGACAGACACATGGACGAGACAATGTCCTGTGTCATTGTTATCTGCATTTTCTCCAATGACTAGTGACAGGGAATTTTGTAACACATTGGCGTAGCACTGAAACTCCCAGATCACACCACCAGAGGCCTAACGTATTAATTTATAATTTAGGTAAATACAGACATGGAATGAATGAATGTTATAGTGGCCAGATCATCTATAGGGAGCTCTGGTGGCCTATTGGCATGAAGCGACACTGCAGTAATCAAGGCACAGGGTTCGAGGTCACCAGCTGCCTTGCAGGGAAAAGAATGGCTTGTTTCCTTCCTAGCAATTAACTGCCCCTAAAAACCCACCAGAGGGTCAGTTACGTGCTGGTTCTGACTCGACGATACACACACACAAAAAACCACCAAGATTTTGTTAAAAAAATCTGTTAATTCCACAATTTTATTTAAAAATTAGAAATAAAAGAACTTTGTTCCTAGGGTTTAACTTTAAAAAAAAAATCTTTAAAAAATTAAAGAACTCTACTTACATAAAAAATCATACAACTTGTATCTTGTTGGTAGTTTCTTAAAAGAGAGAATGTGATCTTTCACCAGGCTTCTCACTATACAACACTGAATTATAAATCTTTTAAATTTATTCCCCGATGTTGTCTTCCTACCACCTTGCTGAAGCACACCACAGTGTCTGTAGTAAGACACGTTGGTGGGTCTAGGTTGCATCATTTCCATCAGTCATAAGAACGTGCCCATAATTTTTTGTCTCTTGACTTTTTTGCTTTGTGAAAGAACTGTGATCAGATAATACTTTTGGCAGCACTATAGATAGAATTAATCTGGATTCTTACAAAGGACTTTGACTGAGTTCATTAGCTGTTTATTCCACCATTCAGTTCCCTAACAGTGGCTGTATCAACTAATTGTGCTCCAGAAACGTCTTTCAATATTTTGCAAAGGGTGAGTCTTTGAAGGAAAAAAAAAAGAGTATTTTTGTTCTTCAATCCCCAGGAAACTATGCAGCAGAAATCCCACACTGTATATATTTTCTCTCACACAGAAATAATATAAATTAAGAGTTTAGCTTCATAGAGAAATTAACAGGAAACACCATGACAGGTTGTTTGATTCATCTTGTGTAATGTCTCATTGCTTGAAGTTCAGGTGTGTTCTTTTAAAAAATGTGATGTCACAGTACCACTGTGGTATTGAATTTATTGTATGACATAATCAAATTTTTTTTTTCAGCTGTTAGAAAACCAATTTATTAGTGTTGGTAACAAGTATAACTTAGTAACTTGCTGATTTGGAATAATGGAATTTCCAAAATACATTGAAATATGTATAATGGATAGAACAAAGCATTTGTATAATAATAGTAATTATTTTATGAAATATCAATATTATTGACATATTTAAATTTTATGATAATTCAGTTAATTGTGTGAAAGAGGTGAGTAAATACTTTTTTTTAAAAATTTAGGTTATTTTCCATTTCAATGAACATCTACAGAGATTTTGGAATTCCATTCATTCATTGTTGCACCCTTCTCCCCACACAAACCCCTCCCCCCCCCCGTTTGCTCCTCTCCTTGAAAAGCAAAAGAAAAACTCCCTCATTGACATAATCAAATTTAAATGTATACCTCGTTGAAATTGTCATTTTTCAAAGAGTTGATCGAGTTCTCTGGGAGCCTAGTGGTAAAAGGAGCTGTACTGGTAGACACAGTAGCTTCGAATACACAAGCAAGTAAACTCAGTCCTGCCCTAGTGTAGGGATTTTTGTTACCCAAAGGGAGTTCAACAACAATGTGATACGATGGTATAAAAACATGTATATATCATCTATAGATCAAGTAGAGAAATACATCTACTTGTGTGCTATCCTGATGGAAAGGTTTGGAAGGTAAGAAGATAACTAATTTCGAACTTTTAAATAAAAAATTCATAAAAGAGCTGACACTGACCATAAAGTTTCTCTATTTCTCTACTGGTAGTCATTACTGTGCTAGGAGTGGATGAAAACTTTTGGCTAGGTGTGAATAAATAGGAATTTATTGTAGAAAAAAATATTGAGGTTCCCAGCTGCCTTAATTTTGGACACGTCTTGAAAATTATCAACAGCTGTGGGATCAATATAAGACAGTGCTTTCCACAGCGTTAGGAGAGGGGTTAGGACATCAACACAGGAGCCACACTGGGACTGGTCGACTGAGCCCAAGCTTGCTGGAGGTTGAAAAATTGTCTGGACTTTGAAATCATAGACTGTGGACTAAACAATGCAGCCTGGGACATGAGTGACCAGTTTCTGCACAACTGGCCTACATACAGTCATGTGACTCAAGGGGACCTTCTAGCAAACCACTGAACGCAAGTTAAGTGGATGAGCTGTTGATGTTAAACATCATGGATTTACAAAGCAGCTTAAGCATTTTGGACTAGGTTGCC